TTTTTTGTTTTTGTATCAAGCAGCAACATTTTCAGCGGATCGTTGAACGATGATGCGCTATGGTTGTATTTTGCTGTTCGTCTGCGTGATCAATTCCGCAGCAGCCATCTTCGGTCAGAATCCTTCAAACTTACCGTTCACGGTTTTCGGAAGACCAGCTGGAGGCTTCTTGAATGTATGTTCTCGTTTCCTATTGCTCTGAAATAAAGCATCAAGAACGTACCGTGCGATAAACATGGTTCTGAAATTACAGCCAATGTTGAAGGTGTTTTGTTCGACTTCACGATGATCCTGTATCAATGTGTTTCCGATGAATGTAAGGTGAAAAATTACAGGTTGTACGTAGAAGAGGTGGTCAACAAACCGGAGGAGAAGAGAATACACGCGAACAAACGACATCTTTCAATGATCTCGTACAAACGTTCACAATCACACAACCGATTGAGCATGGGAATGCATCACTCGGAAAATGGCAACAGGTTCTGCTGTTGATTTCTCCGACCAAAACTTATAGCGTCTCCATAATAATTACTTCAAATTGTCCTCCTCTGTTTCTGTGTCATCATATGGGAAGACGAGAATTACTCTTCGGAGACCTCAAATATGAAGAGCACTTGATATGAAACAAGACTGATGAGTTGAAACAAGACTGATGAGTTCAATCAGTGGCTGTTATACAGCTGTAAGAGGGCAAAACGTTCGAACATGCCACATAATCTCCATCTTTAATATTCACAATAAAAGAGTAATCAGTGAAGAAATGAGCAACTGCAATCACAAGCTATTTGCGAATTGCAGTCTCTTCATTTACTTGGTAGGCAGTAGACATTGACTGAACAAATTGATGTTATCAGGAGAAAGTAGAAGTTAACACTGTTGAACAACAACAATCACTACAAATATGCATTAGCTGTTCAGTAGGGAACGAAATTTCCACTGCCAATGAATAACATAAATAACAATCACAGCAGTTCTGCATGATGCTTGAATGAATGGCTAATGCTCTTGTTCTAAACAACTCACATGAAATTCATCGATGCTTGCATAATTTTAGAGAGTTCAATACAATCCAGCCTTCTACAAGAACAAAGAGGTGATATTCCTTATGATCGGTGGCCAATCACCTATATCACGGAGCTGGGTCTCAGATCCATCACTAACATATCTGAAGTGGGCTAAGCAATACGGTGCAGCAGTTTTCCAGTTAGAACACAGATGCTTTGGTCAAAGTCGACCATACAAGTGAGTGATTCATAGGATACAACTGAGCGAAGTACGGTAAGCAGTGGAAAATCGGAACGTTCCGAGTTCATGACATGGACAATTTGACGCTTTACTACAGAGTGAGGAAATGTATAAAGTTTTACGAGAAATACAGCAGTAACGCTTTCAGCAATTTGGAAATGACCACTCTAAGGTATTGCACCGTTGAACAAGCTCTGCAAGATTTGGCGAATTTCATACGCCAAATGAACGTGAAATACAAGTACTCTAAGCCAAAGTGGGTGACTTTCGGTGGATCGTATGCAGGTGAGTCGCATTTTTAACGTCAGCAATGATCAAGCAAAAAAGGTTGTTGAGAAATGATTCAGCGCTTTCGAATCAACGCATTCTTTGATGCTTTGATCACATAACACTGATTGTCAATGAGTTGTGTTGAGATGCTAATTTCTCGTTATGATCATAGGTACATTGAACGCTTGGTTTCGTCGAAAATATCCACACATGACAGTTGGTGCGGTGGCGAGTTCTGCTCCTCTCACTCACTACTTGGATTATTTCGGTAGATCATTCACTATTCCTTACATCCGACAATCAGTTACAATAAACTCTTTCGAAAAACAAAACCTATTTCAACGGCTATTACCAAAATAGATGGCATATTTGCTTTTGCTTATAGCAATGGATCGTTTGCTGAATGAAAGTTTTCTCGAAAATGTGGGTATGCGAGGTGATCGAGTTTCCTTCATCAATCATTCCAAAAAATTTTGCTCACAGTCAGCTCAGCTAAACCAGAACGTGACAATATCTAGCCGCATATATGCTTCTAAGAGATACCATATGGATCATCACTTTTGTTGAGGTTATTCGAAGATAATGGAGAAAGTGATTCGAGACACAAGTGCGAGTTGCCATAATCAAGTTGGTGGGGCGATACAGGTGATACTTAGTAAAACATTTACAGCGAAGGGCCGTAACGAGCTGAGTGAGAAGCTGAGGTAAGCAGAACATTCGTACAAACAAACCACTATGAGAATTAATTAAATAAAGAGTATCATGGTTGTAATTGAGCAGAATTCACTTCGATACTGAACAGAACAATTCATGTTATGGATTTTGATTAATTGACATCCCATCAACTCATTCTTCTTCACTTATGAATGGCTATTCGAATTCTGAGGTTGCATCAATACACAAGAACAACTTCCGCAACTTCTCCATATAAAATTCATCTTGCCTCTTTGGTACCATCTTTATGAGTGACACCGTCTTCATTTTCACTATGCTAATTTTCACCAGTTTAGGTCGAGTTTGAGAGAATTTTAACGCTTCAGTAGTTTAGCTAACAATAAGCTTGAAATCAGTGATGAATTAACGATAATGCTCATTTGAGATTGGCACCAGCATTCAATGAGACAACGCTGACAGTGAAAGATATTCATCACCTCATGGCATCCATATACGATCTATTCCAAAGCATCGTTCAGTATTCATATGATGGAAAGGTAGAAATTTCGGTTCATCAAACAATGCCCTGGCACAACTGAAGGCTTTTTTTTTGCTCGTGGCTAGCTGTCTTCGATTAGCGTCCATGTTTTTTTTTAACATACTGAGCAACTTCAAAACATCGACTCAAAAAGTTTCAATATGGTGCGATTCATAATGCGATTAGATGCGTTCACTATGTACTAATTAATTCAGTGATGATATTGGCCATTAATTTAAACTGCCACAAGAAAACGGAGGTTTGCTTGCAGGACAACATTACTATGGGCGGCTTCAACACACGTAACCTCTGCAACATACTTACGAACACCCAAACGAATGATCAAATTGAAAAAGTTACTTTTTGATCCACTCAATGTAAAGCTCACCTGTACTAACATTCGTAAAGTTGTTACTTCCTTTTGTAATCCGCATTTGTATCGTCGAAAAAGACGATCCATTGGTGCATGATCCACAGTAATTGATGATCATATGGATATTAGAATAGGAAGTCGTTACAGATTGAGAGCTTCCTTTATGTTTCGGTTAGAATTACCTCAAACTGATACTAGAGATTCAGAAGATGCTTTAATCACCGTTTGAACATTATTTTCGCTTAGATCAGGGCAATGTTCGATTGGATGTATGCGTTCGATCAGAACATGCCGTTGCTCCCCGATAGCACACTGCCGAACAGCTATCAGGACATCATTGAACCTTTGAAGAATACAACTTTCGATGATGAAAACGGCAATGAAAGGGGTATTTGTGTCTGGCATTCGTAGTTGGTGTTTGTTGCATCGATAATACGGTCGATACAACTGAATCATTGCTGTATGATACCCCAATCACAGATCAAAATGTTGTGGTTCTGTTTTACACGAGTGGTTCAAGACACGGAAGGATTTTTCCAAAAAGTGGGCATCTGGGGATACTCGTGTGTGCTCGTTTATGACCAATTGAGCAATTTCAGCAGCCTGGAGAGCCTGGATTTGGATTAGCTGTAATCAACTTGGTCTCATGCAAACCACCAGCTCTGGACGGAACATCTTCGGAAGTATGCTCCCACTAAAGTATGGCATTAAGCATGAATTTCTAATTTCTGCTAAAATTCCATTCAGTGGCACCAAGAGTAGTTCATAGTTCGAATGCATCGCTTTCGAAAACAAAGATAAAAACAACAATGAGAAAATAACCAGCACAGAAATCTGCCATTTTTGTCGCATTCCGATTGAACCTTACTTCAGAGCCGAGAGCAGGCATTCAGATGCACACGTGAAATTGCCGCTTAGATTACAAATCCTCTTGATAGGCCTCTGAAGATTCGTCGTTTAGAAGTGCATTTTCAAAGTGGATTTTCAGCTACTATATCGATGCTTGTGTGGACATCTTCGGTGATACACTTAGTATCACGACGATTCGAGACAATAATCTTGCACTCCGCAGTAATTACGGTGATGCGACTGACTACACGGTTTGTTTGATGCATTGTGGCAGTCCTCAGCTTTCATTGTATTCGATCATTAGTTGTTTTCAATGGCTGTATTCTTGAAGGTTGCCAATATTGTTCTTCCAAACGGCTCACTTGATCCATTCCGTCTTCTCGGTACTTATGCGGACTATCCTGTGATACATCAAAAGACTATGCTCATCGATGGTAAACCCTTGAACTAATGAGAACACTTCAGTGCTGTTGTCCTCTCGATGAATAGGTTAGGGAGTGAAGGATAAAGATCAATGCAGTTTGTTTGTAAGCACAGTTGTCGAATAAATGCGAAAAGCATCGAGGATAGCTTCTGATTTCAATGAATATTCGCGGATTTTATTCGTTAGAAATCGCTTCTAGGCAAAAATCACCTAACGGTTGCACCGTTCGTTCTTGTTATTTAGCGTCATGAGGGAAATTTATTCCCCAATGTGACTGAATAAATAACTTCAGTGATAATTCGTCTTCAGTGATAATTCAATGAGTAATTAGTAATCAATCACCTGAAAATGATACGGTATAACGCACTGAATGGATATCGGTTTAATATCTTGTGAAATCTCTAGGATCATCGCATTGTGCCGATATGTATCCACAATGGAGTGGTGAACCACCGGCTCTTGCTTCTGCAAGGGCTGAGATCCAAAAAGAGCTCGAGTACTTCATTGAGTCCGGTTGGTATTCAGAACATCAACTTTTTCATTCCAACTAGCTTACTATTGAGCAGATAGACTGCTGAATTGAATGAATGCAATTGGACGTAAATTTGTTTCTGAGAAGGTCCGATAACTGAATCTCATGCATAAAGTGCTACTTACCCGTTCTAAAGTCTTATATGCTTTCGTCCGCATGAGTATATTACAATGAAAAAGATTCAAACAACTCTTTGTTCAATATGATGACAGAATTTTGTTGCTCTCGGTGATAAAGCTGACAATAGAAGCAGTGAACATTCAGTGAGTGAACGACTTCTAGAGCATAACGATCGTCCATTTCAGGTTCACCGTCGTCGATAACAACCGCTACGACGGCTGCTCTCCTTCTCGCTTCTCTGCTACTTTCAAACATTTAATTGCATCAATCCTTTTCGTGTTCCTTTTCATTCGCTGATTTTTGCAGAACAATAAAGTTTTGTGTTNTACTTGTAGTTCTTGTGATTGTTGACACCAATCAAATGCAATGCGAACAAGCATATCATGCCTGTGAAACATTTCTTTAGATTTCCGTCATGTTGGTGCACGTCCGGATAAGATCTGACCCGAAACGGAGAGCACGCTTTTTGCGTCAATTGTTTCAGCTCGTTCATGCGAAGAATTGTATCGATCACGGTCATGATGAATTAACTTCTTCTATACGAATCTAACTCTCGCTCTGTTCTCTTCTCTGATCAGGATAGTTGACCGACTGGGTCGATCGAATCCGCGAGCTAGCATCAAACGGGATGAAATGAAACACAATTTCGTTTTAAAAAAATTCCAGGAAGAATGACGGGAAGCCTTTCGACAGTGTTCGTCGCTTTGCTTTTGGCGATTTCAGCTGATGCTTACATTCATTTACGACATCCGAGTGCGCCGCACTTTCTGTTGGGTCGTCCTCCAGGCGGATTTCTAATGGTACGGTTTTTATGTTGATCTCTGAATTGATCAATATTTCGTGTACGATTGGAACAACACTTACTGAAGTGTTACATCGAGTTTCGTTAAAACAAGTCAAAACAACTCATATAAACCTACTGAATGGAATAAAATGAATGGTCAGTATCCATCACTTTTTTGCGTTCACCTGAAGGGTTCACAGAGAGCATCGCAAATC